AGTTATCCTCGCCGACTTCGCGCACAGACCACGTCGTCTGGAAGAACCTGTGTGACTATCAGACCAGAAGACTGCGACAGGCATGAGCTTCTGGTACCGAAGGCTTGTATAGGACACAATCCTTTTGTCGTCAGCGGTGTCCTTTGCTTAACAAATCACAGGACCACCACGTGAATGCACTTCAATGCTCTTATCATTGACAACTGCTTTACCCCGTGACCATGAAGGGCCGCGATCGCTGTGCGATGCCAAATGCTGGCTAGACCAGCGTCTATCTCGCATTTACGATGAGGTTGCAAATCCAACCACGCAGACGGTCCCAGGGGGGTGGGGGAGGGGGCTGTAGAGGATGCATGTATTACAGGCGTTGTTTTCTTTCATTAACCCAATCATACTTCATTCGCCCTCGGCAATAGTACCCGTGCGGGTTGCTATAGTGGCGAATTAATCTGTCACTGCACCATGGCCAGGACATCCACCAGAGTTCATCACTGTTAACTTGCAGTCTGTTGATTTTGCCTATTTGTGAATTTCCATAGTAGATATAGTAACTAGCCCAACTTTGATGTCCAATAAATATTTTTCGAGAGCATTTGGCTTTCGACCTTAAGTGTAAACAGTAGAAATGCATCCCCCAGTCGATTTTTCCAGACTACATTTTCGCCGTCCTTTCTTTTCCGATCGGACACAGCAAAATAGACCCCCCCTATGTTCCCATTAGGATCGTGTCCTTGCGCTAAATTCTAGGGCGGCACATATTCTCGCCTCATAAATTTAATCCTAACACTAACCCAAACTCCAGCATTCCGAAACCATAGCCTCCACCCTTTACCATAATTTGGCGCAAATCTGTCTGTAATTCGGAGGGAAATTCCATGCCCTGCTCCACAACGGCTTATTCATATCCGGGCAAAAACAGAATCGAATGATTGGTGGAAAGTTTCCAAATAAGCTTCTGGTCTCGTCGTCATGTACAGTAATTCTACCAAATAACAGTGGACCGAATGTGTCCTTACTGTTCGTGTACACTGTGGCGACCACGATTAAAGGTCCATCGACTGAGCCGTCAGTGTTTTCGTCTGACCTTTTAACGTCAAACAACAGTCCACCGAAAGAGATTACGAAAGTGGATGAAAAATAAATGGCTTCTGTGGCTTTTTTAACTGTTCATTGGTGTGAGTTGTAACAAACTCGACGGCCTCGGTGGGATTCGACCTCACGCCAGCAAGGGAGAGGCTTTAGTATAACTAACGCTCTAGCCAACTGAACTACGAGGCCTCCCACCAGGAGCCGCGAGTTTGATCACGGTTTTGAAGCGTATTTGCCATCTGCGCTTTCGGCGAAAACAGGGTCCTGACGTCTGACGGTGAGTGCACACCGCCTAATAAACAGACTAGTGAATATCCTGGTTTGTGGAAATGTGATCCGTGCTTCCCACGATCCACTTCGTTTCTTATTAGTCCTGTGCACTGCTCATGGAAGAGACGTTATAATATGCAGGACTGGCAGGAGCTTCCTGCCGCAGGACTTGTGTGTGCATCATTCGTTTGTCGTGTTTGTTCCCGTACAAGCATTTTGTGGTCCATATACCGCCTTCGATGACTCATACCCGTGCTTGCGTATCTGGCTAGATACACAAGACTGGCTAACACAGCCCCGCGGGAACTTTCTCGTCCAGGCTTTTGTCGCGTCTGTTGCTCAAAGCAGGTACCCTTCTCTCAATTCACGGGTAATAGGCGCACCACAAGACAGAAACACAGAAATGCGCTTTATTTTGAAAATATAATTGCAAGATTTTCTGCAAAAACGTCCTCTATCCACCGAGGATGAAATTAGCCCCACAACCCACATAACCCCGGGAGATCACAAACAATGCGTAATGGCCGAACACTGCATTTGCTAATATCACGACGAATCGTCCTTGAACAAGTCGCAAATTTGGGCGGCATTGGACTTCCTTCAAAATGGTGTTAGCTTCAGGCGCTAATGATTTCATTTTCATAGTTCGAATAAACGAAAGGGGTAGAATCGTTTTACAATGTGCGCAATAGGTCAGCTGATGTATATGTAAGCAGTTTCCATGCGAGTGTAGAGCCGGAAAAATGGCACCTCAGCTTCAAAAGCCCGCACATCTTCCATGCTTACCTTAGTCATGTGACTCATAGTCTGCAATGGCCAATCAGCGACGAAAATGGGCTAGTCTCTTGCCTTTCTCCTCGCCGTCAGTAGGCTTACTGTGAAAGTGTTCCACACAGAGTATAATGAATTGAAGGGCACTGGTGTAAAACGTTAAAAAAACCTACTGGGGCTGCAGTCTTGCCGACCGGGCCCTATTCTTCATTGCTATATGAAGCGGGCAGGATTAGCTTTTATACGAGCGTCGATTACCTGTAGACGATATTTGCAGTCACTAGCAGTGAAGATCTACTGCCGGGCGGGGACAACCGACGACAATGCGATTAATTGTCTGACATTCTCTGCGGGAATATACTTTAGCCGGGAGGCAGTTTAAACACGTAAAGTACTGACTGTTCGAAAGGCAGAAGTTTGTGTAACATTGGTGCAAGCTTTCTGTATTTTTCCATTATCGAATTCTGGTTTATTTCTTCACGTCGTTGTTTATAGATCACTTCCGTTCATTTTTATCTTCTGTTAGCTGCTAATTGGGTAGACTTTGTTCTTAGGGTTTTTTCTTTTTCTAAAAATAGAACAATTTTGATTACCATTCGCTTCACTTTGACATTGCTTTTATTTGGCTCTCTTTTTGACTTCTGTGCGCCTCGCGTACTAATGAGACCCACTCAGCTAACGGCTACTCTTTCGACAAAATCCGGTTTAGACTAGTGTGGCCTGGCTACCACTCCCCCACCGAATCAATAGTATTGCGTCGTCGCCCTCGTCGCGTGTCTGCTTTTTTTAAACAGTCACTGCTTTGTTTTTCGTGTATCTGTTTCGCAGGCTTTCAGTTATGTAGTTCGTCAATTCTGTTGTGCAGATAGACGCATAGAGACTGTTGCCGTTTCCATGACTATGAAGTAGCCCCAATTTGAGCAATCCCAGTTTACTCTGCCAGCTATGCTTCACTTTTTTACCCCTGTTAGTGGAAATACGACATTTAATAATAGTTTGTCGCCAAAACCGTCAACGTCTCCTAGCTTCCTCGGTAAGTGAATTTGACTTAGTTCTGTGTAGTTGTGTCAGTCAAGTAGTTTTCCCCACTCGAAACTGCCACAAGGTTTTGTATGCTCGGTCAGCGTGAGATTTGGAAAGACACAACGGAAGCGTCCGTTTTAGCCCTTGCTAGTCACAGCCCTGATGTGCTTTTGAGGTCCAGAGAACTGGATT